CGGAGATGCGATGCTGCTGCTGCCAGCCGGTGGCACTTGCTGCGGCACCTGGTAAGGGGGAGTCGTTCTGTTGGAGCAACTGCTGTTGAGGCGGCGGCAGAGGTGGCTGCGTGGTTGTGCTTCCGGGGTCTACGTCCAGGACGATGCTGGTGCCATCATCTCTGGGTTGTTCGGATTGGAGCGTGAGCTGGTGGAAGTTGCTCGTGGCGTCCGGCGCGCCACCTGCGGAAACGCTGCGGCGAGGGCGAAGGCTCAGGGGGTGCTGCTCGACGTGCCCGAAGTCCGGGTAGTCATCGTCGTCATCGTCATCGTCATGTAACTGCGGCCGTGGTGGGGCTTCCAGGTCTTGCAAAGGTCGCCTGGCTGGCTTGTAATGGGTTGGAAGAGGAGAGGTTTGGGGTTCCAAGAGACTCAGTACCGAGCGCCACATTTGGGGATGAGTTAGGCTCAACCACGCAGCGCCTGGACTGTTCCTGGCTTAATGTGCGTCTCCTTTTAAGGGCCACACAGGCGTCAAAGCACCCATGTGGCCCGAAAAACTACTTTTGGTCGATGCACAAGTGCCTGACCACTTATCGATAGCTCCTTGGGGACGCCAACGGTTTTAAAAGAAACTTGAGTCTGTACACAAAAAATCTGTCTAACGTTCTGAGTGCACCTCTGTCCAGCTTCTCAAGTAGTTATGGCCAGCTGGTCCAAGTCTGCTTGCAACTGAAGTTGGCACGAACCAAGCAGTCTAAGAAAATTTGAAAAGCCTAAATTAAAACTTTGACATGCGTTTACAAGTACACTGGGATTTGAGGAAGGTCGGGAGGTTGGGAGGTTTGCCACATCCAGCGTGGCCCATCACGAGCACCTTTTTGTACAGCTTTTACACCACCAACCCTGACCTACCTGGAAAGAAACTACGTCCGTTAACACAACCTTTAAGCGACTGACAGCGACCCAACTCCACGGACAACCGCATTTGTCCACAACTGTTTCTAGCCGTGTTGCAGCTGCGCATTGCCCAGATGCACCCAGCGCTCTGCAGCCGTCATAGACCATCCCCGTTTGGAATCACCCATGCGAACAAGCACGTCAGCATTCGCGATCGGAGCTGCCATCATTCCTCACGAAGGCACAAAGCCCTGGTCTTCCTTAAACCACTCGCTCTCCAGTCTTCTCCACATGACGACCCGGCTGTCGACAACTTTCAAATCGATCCCAGCAGCTATGCCAGCAGGTGCGTGTGAAGCTGGGCATCGCAGACGCTGCCATAGCCGGGTCGTACTTGGTGCTGCCATGCCGCGCACTATCTGCCACCGCACTGTCCAGGGGACACAAAATCTTCCACGCAGCGACATCTGACCGCGATTCTGAATGATGTTAGCATCCTGGCTTTAGGAGATCTGCGCTCCGCTCTTGCACACGCGTTTCCATTTTGAATGGCATGCGCAATACACCATCACAACCACACCGGCCACACACACACACACACACACACACACACACACACACACACACGCACATACATACACAGCTTTCTCCAATGCTTCCCGATGTCACTGCTCCTCCAGACGCGCCCTTCTGGCGGGAGGGGCTGCGGCGGCTGCGGCATTGCCAATGCTGACTGCAGTGATGGCGACGGCGCTGCTGGGCCGCCCCGTCGGTGCAGCGGCGGCTGAGGGGACCATCGCGAAGTACGAGCCCATGGATGCCCTCAAGGTGGGCCGCAGGGGTATACATATTCCCGTATACTAACGCACAACAACCTAACCAACCAACCCAACCTAACAACCGATGGAACCCAACCACAACCACCTGCCCTCTAAAGCCGCCGCACATTAATACACTACGGACGATCTCCGAAACCAACTTTTACCAAAAATGTTTAACCCCATTATAAATATCAAGGAAACATATAAGGAATTGATGGGTGGGTGGGGAGTTAGACGAACCACGAGCGAGTGAAGCGGTGAGGGGGGGCCCACTCCGCAATGCTGAATGTTCTGAGTCACGGACAGGTGGACAGACAGACAGACAGACGGTTTGATGGCTGCAGATGTGGAAGGGGGGGGGGGAAAGGCGAATCATTTCAACGAGTGAAGCTGCTGCCAAGGAGCAGAACTGACCAGTAGGCGTTCTTAAGGAGGGGGGAGGAAAGAAATAATCGGCGGGTGTTGTAACCCAGGTGGCGCAGTTTTGAATGGGAATGAGACATGGTTAAGTCTGGGGGGGGAGGAGGAGGAATATTTGCAACTGAGCTCTAACCAACTGACCATCGTGATTATAATCGTGATGACATGTGCCGAGGGGTGCTTGGGGGGAAGGAGGAGGCTGCAGGGTGAGGGAGGCCACCCCCCTGCCGTACAGCCGTACGATTTGTTCCCGTGCAGCCGTACGATTTGTTTCCATATCAATCATGCCGTAGTCCTGAACCTGCGGCTTGTCTTCGCGTTTCCCCCAAATCCCCGGGGCGAGGGGGATGCCAAAAGTCCCCCTTTGGATGAGTTTACCCACTTCCCCTGTTCCCGTATTTTGTACCGCTGTACGATCCGCACCCTCCGTACGTACACTCTCTTACAAACACACACACACGCGCGCGCGCGCACAGGGCAAGGATTACGGCAAACCGCGAATGACGTACAAGGACTACACCACGACATCCAGCGGTCTCCAATTTCAGGTCGGTCAGTCTGTCGGTCGGTCAGTCTGTCAGTCTGTCGGTCAGTCAGTCTGTCAATCAGTCTGTCTGTCAGTCTGTCGGTCTGTCGGTCGGTCTGTCTGCGTCCTACCCTCCATTTCCCTCTCCCCACCCACTTGCCCTTGGGGGTGGGGTGAC